AGCCGGCCGCGCTTGTTATTGTTTTGTTTGTTGGTAGGTACCTACGTTCTTAAATTCGTAATATAATATAATATAATATTATTATGATTTTGAATAGATTATCTAGCAATTCGATAATTGAATTTGGTTCATCAAATTTATGCTTCATTATTAGTATAATTAATAGATGTTCAATTATTTGTAAGTTTTGTTGGCTTATTCCATAGCTGATGAAGTAGTTCACAAAAAATACGCGAGATGTCAGTGTATGTAATTTGGCGACAGAATAAACCACAATATTCTTGAACGCACTTTTCAAAATGTATTCTGTACATGTAGGTACCTGTCTTGTGTGAGTATGATTGTCATTGTATGACCGGGGGGGAGGGGTTTAATCATACGATATTTAATTGCCTACCCTGTCTAGAAAACCTGTGCACGCCACTGGAATTATTGCTGATTAACTACATTTTGTGAGACGACGTTTGTATGTACAATACTATTACATATAATAATAATATTATCACTAGACATTAGGAATAATAAAAATGTAGTTAGACCTTAAAGGCGAAGGTTAGGTCATTTCGAGGATCTTACATTAGTCGATTAAAATTAAAATCAGACTGGCTGGTTGTAGCCAAGTGAAGGTATAACATGTATTCTAAATAATTCACGAATCATTCCTTTTATCATCAATTCGTAACAGACAAAACAAATTCTAGAAAAGTAATGTTTTATCAATGAATGAACAAACACAAGAAAGTAAAATACGTTGCGTTTGATAACACGTTGTGAAATTGACGGTTATATGATAACCTTAGTTATTGTTACAAAATAAGTGTTTTAGATATTATATTTGTCACTTATTGTTTATTACACAGATTTGTGACCATTTGATAAACTGTTATTGGTACCGGAAGAGAGAGTCTGGCGGACTGTCTCAGTTATTAAAAAGATAAGTGTTAGGTACGTATTGTCTGAGCGTTTTAGTAATAGTAATACCTAGTACTTAGACGTCATTACGAAAGTTTATGTACGAAATATAAGTGTGCATATATATTATAGGATCATAAAGCCAAGGATAGTATATCGGCGAAATGTTAAGCAAAGCCGACCGATTTTCCCTGATATATATATGGCGACAACGCGCAACTTATGTCCAATTGTCCATAGTGACTTTGATGTTACCAGGTATGTCGATCAAAGTCCGGCAACGTCGCACTACTACACCCACCGTCGCTGGCGACACTTATCACAGGACATTTGTCCCCTTAGTGTATCCTTAGCTTAAGAAACATCGAGATTAGGTACTTGAAACAAATCTTATGTTCTTAAAAAAATATTTAATTTGTAGGTAATGTTCCATGCTGCAAAATATACTCATAAGGGCCGATTTTTCCAACATTAACTGAAGAATCACTTTAAAAATTTGACAATAACTCTTCCATACTAAAAACTGTCAAATATCAATTTTATTCTACAGTTAAAAATTAAGTGACGATTGAAAAATTACTTGGCCCCAAGTACTTATAATACCTTTTTGCAACAACACACATTAGATTGTCTATTGTTTCGTTTCTAAGTATCATGCCATATGCACCAAACGAGTAAATAATTTGTTTTGTCTACATAGTTATTACATTATGTTTATCCAGCAAATCTAGTGATTTCTGCAGCATTGTGTCAAAAAAATCATCCTTGAATTTTGCACACAAACAACTATGAAGAATATGTTATCTAGTCAAACGTGTATCTACTAAACAAAGATTGTCTTGGCTTAAATTATTTCTGAGTAATGAATAGCATGGAGCTGAGAATTGAGCTCAATATTATGCTAATAGGTTTACCCCATATTACATGGAAGTTATGATACGTTTCGTGGAAAGTGAGTTGTAGGAATCTTCTTGAAGATAACGGGTGCTTAAAAATGCATATTACTCCTCCCTCTCCCCATGACTAGTGCAATAATTTAGTTAGTTTTAAAACCCTAATACTAAGCATTAATTATCACATCTATACTATAGACATAATATTCATAATCAGGAAGTTGATATGACCCTTTAAAACGTTAAAAACAGATTATAATAAAATATTATTAGGAGTTACATGACCTTTTTGGTCCTTGTCTATGCGTAGTGGCCAGAGATAAGGGATTGACATACTCCACTTTATCTTTCTAGAATTGTGTGGATAATATCTTAAGATAAATAATAATAATTGACCCAAAATATCGTAATGTATTCTTATCATCACGCTTTATATTCCCTGGCCATCCAGGGAACAATTCAAAATGTACTTAAGTAAGGTAATGTCATCTGTAGTTTCTGTCTTCTGTGTGTTATAAAAAAACCGAACAAAGCTTTTGAAAAACCTGTTTACAAAAAAAAATAATAACAAAACCAAAGTGTTTAAACTGGGTCATGGTTCATGTAATCCTGTTCAATAAAATAACAGTGCAACGTGACAAACATGTTTAATATTAAAAAAAATAATCCAAAAAAAGAAAGTGACATGAATAATTTATCGATTTATAAAAAAAATATTTAGAAAAAATTATCGATTTAAAAATCGAATACGTATCGTGATGTGCGTCACTACGATTTAGTTTCACAGATTATTTGTTATGTTATCTGTGACCGGTTTTTGACATATGCGTGACGTAGAAATATTTAAGTTGTTTTGATTGATTTCCTGCATTTATAAACAAATACGTAGGTAGGTATAGAAAATGTAGGTGCGTATAGGCACCTTAAAAATATTACGGTTATTACTATATTTAAAGTATTTAAAGATATTTTTAAATTTATACAAAAGTATGATTGCTAATAACGAAGTCCTCTGTTCGATTGTTGCGTTAAGTAAAATGTTAATGAATGGCGTTCAATCGTGCTTCGAAGTCATGAATGTTAAGTATTATGTACTGGACGTTTTCAACTTAATATAAAGATGAAGAAAAACATACAGACAAAACCTCATTGTGTATTGTATAACAGATTAAAAAGGATTAACATTAAAACTTATTAAAAAAAACTAGAAAAAGAAATCAAGATTCATAAGTCAAGCCAAGTCAAGTCTTAAGAATTTAATTTAGTTTTTTTTATTAAATCAAACCTAAATGGTTACGTAACATATCATCATATTAGACTTTTAATATAAATTCATACTAATATATTAGCATAAAGGATGTTTTTTCAGCAAGAAACCTAATTTATAATTTCCTGTCGTCAAATTAATTGAAATTGGGTTTAACCGGTTAGCTATTTGTACCTCATTGCACAAAATGTTATCAAGAAGTTTATTATATTTTTTGTATTATTTAATAAGTATTTAAAATTCATGATTTACTACTCATGTATACCCACAAAGTCACCCCTGCCAGTCAAGTTTTTTTTTGTAATGTAATAATTATGTTTCCTTTTTATTATTTCGACGCGTAACGTAAGTGGCATGTCTGTAATATTTTTAAACACCATGACACAGAAGTAAACTACTTACATAGTTTGAGTCAAGCAAAAGTTTTTCTTTAAGTTACGATAGGCAGATAATAATATAAATAAACGAGGTCACACCTTTTTGGAGTATTTTTCATTTTCCATAAAAATTAAAAGTTATTTGGGAGAAATGGATACGTGTGGAAAAGTTTATTTGAAATGATCTATCAGTTATAGTGCCTACGTGTAACTATATATTTACTGTAACTATATTTACAAATATTTCTAAAACTACACTATATTATGTATATGTAGATTTGAAACGTTGACGTAATATAAAACCACAATTTTTTAGTCTATTTTTTATTAATCAATATTCAAGTCTGAAGCATTCAAATGTGATTTAACACTGAATTAACTTGTCCAGCCGTTCAGAACTAAATGAGTTAAGTAATTTTGACTTATGTATGACGTCAGTAAGTTACATTAAACTTAGTTATTAAGCTCACGTGTATAAAACTCGTGTTTAAGCTTAAACTAAAAAATCACCGCTAGTTTTTGTACACATCCGCCATTTTTTTAGACAGCAGTAATTGAAACTGTTGGACGATAAAACTACTTTTTTATTCAGAAAAAAAAATATCTGACCAGCTGTAAAATATTTATTTGCGTAAAAAATTTAGTAATGATAATTAAAGATAGGAATGACAGATAATAATAAAGTCTCCTAATTGCTGTACATTTTATACTTTTATTAGGTACGATTTATTCTTTGATTTTTGACGTATACTAAAAATACTGTTTTTTTTTTCGTATTCAAGTCTATCCTTGTACTAAAAGGTTTGTTTGAAGATTATGCAATAAGATATGCGTATTTTATTACATATTACGTTTGAAAACAAAACTAGTTTGAAATCTAATCTAATCGTAAAGGTGTTGGACCATTAAAATATGTCAGTCTAATTTACGTCAACAATCGTTAGCATTTCGGAGCAAACTTGTGGTCTATGGGAGCTTAACTCGTCGAGTACCGGTTTTGTAGACACAATTATAGAACAATAGGTTGCGGTCACCGGTGACCGCTTGGTGTTTGACAGTTTAAATAAAGTAATAAATAACTAACTAACAAAATAAACAAATCACGTCATATGTGCAATTTGCGAATAACAGCAATTTTATCATTCTTTTTTGTTGTGTAACTATACTTCTTGTGAGATAAGTTTCGATGAAAAATATCGGCATTTTAGGAGCAAATGGTTATATTTTTTAAGTGTGAGAGGTCCATGCCACAGCAAGAATGGGCTCACCCGAGTTATACCACGTCCGAGCAGAAACCCGACGTGAAACAACGCTTGCGTTGTATTTCATCGTGTGAGTAAGGTTACTGGAAGCCCGGTTATCACCCTTCCCCAATTTCCCCCATTCTAGAATCCCTAACAATTCTCAAATCCTAATCCCCAAAAGGCCGGTAACGCACTTGTAACGCCTCTGGTGTTTCAGGTGTCCGTGGGTGGCGCTAATTGCTCCGTCTGTTCGTTAACCCGTTCGTTCGTTATCCCAGGTTAACTAATTAAAATATTTTACACTTACCCATGTGGTAACAATGTCCAAAGGATTTATCGCAGCCATTATGATTCCTATGATCGCCAGCAGGATACCATACGATAATCGGATGACCGAATCTAGAAAACAAAAGAACATGTCATTATAGCAGTTAGTACTCACGCAGGAGAGGCATGCTTCGGCATCAATAGTCCAGCTTGAGTGGAATAATACAACAGACTCATAAAAAACCATGGCGTGAAACAATGCCGATGCAAAGGTTACCGGAGGCCCAATTACCTTCCCCTTTCCCAATCTCCCCAATCCCTGAATCCCCAACGATCCTCAAACTCCTAATCCCCAAAAAGCCGATGACGCACTTGTAACGCCTCTGGTGTTCCAGGTGTCCATGGGCGACGCCGATTGCTTACCATCAGGTGATCCGTAAGCTCGTTTACCGGCTTATGCCATAAAAAAAGATGGATCACCTGATTGAAAGTAATTGGCGCCGTTTATGGACACTCAAAACACCAAGGCGTTACAAGTGCGTTACCGGCCTTTTGGGAATTGGGAATTTGAGGATATGGGAGACGGAGACTAGGGACGGGGACTAGACTGTGAGGCCGTGGTATCACTCCGGTCGAGCCGGCCCATTCGTGCCGAAGCATGGCTCTCCCACACTTACTTGGTTACTTATTAACATCATCAGGAGATCCCTCTGATCATTTATTTGGCTCCTATACTCAAAAAAGTTGATATTTATCTATAATCATTAGACAAACGGAGCAGGAAACAACATAAGCATAACATAAGATATGAAAAATAAATACCCACGTGGAACTAAACGTGACTTTTAGTTCAGTGACCATGCCAATAGATAAGATTTTTTTCTGTTTAGCTGATTCCGATCAATATTAATAGACGATGGTAGAATTATGAGTTATCTCTCTCTATAACTCTAAAGTCTTCAATTATCTGGTGTACATTGCAATTTAATTAAGATATTTGAAGTAAAGATAGAAAACGAACAACATTATAATAAATCTTATAAAACAGCAGTAAAGTCTAAAATGCTATTATCAATTTTACTTTTCATTGTAACTTAATCAATTAATTTATTTGGAATGTCACGGTAGCTAAATTTTTAAGACTTAATTCAAGCAGAAAATTCCGAGCTTAATTCATGAGTCGGGAAAAAATAATAATATTGAAATTGTCAATTTTGAAACAGTAATTTTTACGGGGGCTGCCCCCCGTAAAAATCCGCCTCCCGCTAAGTAGACCGACGACATCGCCAGAGTTGCGGGGAGCCAGTGGATGCGAGTAGCGAGTTGTCGTTCGACGTGGAGGACTAAGGGGGAGGCCTTTGTCCAGCAGTGGACGTCTTCCGACTGTTGATGATGAGGATGATGAATTTTTACGGAGTCTTCAATTATGTTTCAAATTGTTTCATAAGTAATTTTTTTCCTTTTACAAATTGCAGCAAACGTTGACTTATAGGTACTTATCACTTCACTACATAGTATAAAACAAAGTCATTATCCGCCGTCTGTCTGTCCCTATGTATGTTTAGATCTTTAAAACTATGCAACGGATTTTGATGCGGGAAGGAAGGTTTATATTTTAAATGCATATTGCACGTGTGAAGCCGGGGCGGGTCGCTAGTACTTAATATAAGACCAAACTTATACTTAATATTATTACGGCAAGATACTTACGTCGTTTCTGAACAGTGAAGTTCTGTATTTTCATAATTGATATTCGCCCCTTACTGGGGACTTGTTGTAAGGTGCCTACAACCATCTTTTAGGCTCTGAAACAAACAGAAAGTACATTTATATATCTCAAGAAAATTGTAATTTTGCTCAAATCTAGGACAATGGGTGTGTCCTGAAGCTGTCGGAAGTCACTGAATGAAGAGCAGAAGTATCCTTAATTGTTCAAATAGACTACGATTTTTATATCTCCCGCCAGTCTGAGGAATTATGATAAGCTCTATATTAAAAAAGAAGTATAAGTTCAGCACCGAATATGTCACATACATCTAGTTTAGTAAACCATATTTTTTATAGGTATATATGGTGGTACAGGCATTTATATGCTTAAAAGGAGACGCCACCAACTGTGTAACTTTGTGTTAACGTGTAATAACGAAATAAACATTTTTTGATTTTGATTTTGATATATTTGATAGGCCGACGTTTGACCACTATCTCGCCTAGTGAGCCTAACTAGTCAAATTCAATACTTTTTTCGAACTGTCAAAAACGACAGTTTTCTATTAATTTTGTACGAGATTCTGTTATGTGACGTCACGTTTTGTTAGCATCAAACAGCATATTTATTTCTTAAAAATTTGCTGGAAAAATACTAAAATTAAGTTGGTCATAAAATCAATTAATGAAAGTGTGATTATTTTTTAATATTTCAGTGTATTGAACAGTCGAAATCATTTATTTTTGATTAAGGCAAGTACCCAATTCAGCCATTTTATCAAACGGCTAATCATTCAGGTTAGTTGAATGTCTAAAAGCTAGTTGGCTGTGACAGATACTCCGCCGACGATGGTGACGATTTATGGTAGTAAATATTTCAATACACATTTACCTAAGTTTTTACTCAGTCGGTAAATCACGTTGTATAACCATAATGAGGGTTAAAAGATCATAAATCGTCACAGACAATATGTAATAGATGATCAACATTCGACGTTTATTAACATACATAACATCGCGCCTTTTATCCCCGAAGGGGTAGGCAGAGGTGCATTTTACAGCACTTAATGCAACTGTACAATATAACACCCATTTTTCACTATTTACTCCTTGCTACTACTGAGATTTATTAAAACCCAGTAATACTTTGCCCGACCCGGGAATCGAAGACCGAGACCCCTTGCCCAGCAGCCGCACTGGCGACCATTCGACCAACGAGCCAGTCGTTTATTATAATTACATATATGTACTTCCAATTCTAATGTCGTATTATTAAGTAATTCGTAGTATTGTTGTGACGTAAAGGATTATTATTTGTGTTTGTTTATGTCGTTAGTCGTTTTTAGATAAGTTTCAGGTCAAGTAATTCGACTTCCAGTTTGGCCAGAAGTATTAGTAAGATTAAATATAAATAAAGATTTTTTTAAATCAGACTAGTAATTCCGGATAAAAAGACATATATAAGACATAAGATGTGCATTTTCTATATGTAAATGTACATTGTTATAGCTATTCATTTGTCACTATATAGACTGCAACTAATTTCAAAATAGACTATATACATATTAGCTAATATATGTATGTAGAGGTTATCAAAATGCTACCTGTTCCTCGAGAAATTATTGACTCTGTTTTGTGAAGTCTAACAAATTTTATATATAAGGAATAAAAACATTAAGCCTTTAAATTATTAAAATAAATCTGTTTATTATAATAAATAACACGTAAATATATGTTAAGTGTGTTATGTTAATAGTGATTTTAATAATTATAGGATTTTTAGGTATTTCGTAAATCATTTAATATGAAAAGTTAGGTAACTTGTAATACCTAATGATAAGTGATTGATAAAAAATAGATACAAGATTTTGATTTGATAAAAAACTTATTTATCAACTCAAAACTTGTATTGAGTAGTATTTAATAGTAATTGAGTTTTTATTGAGGGGGAAAAATCATCCAATAGCTTCTCTCACCCGAGTGAGGCGAGAGGAAGTGTCATACTCTTACTGACTAAAAACCACCCCGTTCCTACTCCTGCACTTTGAGCCGGAGCCTCGGCAAGTCCTCCGCGGGTCCGTATATTTATAATTGAGATATATAGGTATGTATTAATAGTTATTGCCCACTTTAATTAAAGGTTTTGTTTTAGATATCCGTTTAAGTAACTACTTGTGTTTCAAATCAATGTATCAAATCGACTGATGCATATGAACAAGGTTTCTGGGTGCTTACTCTTGAAACCAATTTCAATGTCAATGCTATTTCAATTCAATAAAATCTCAATAATTATTCAAATGTCAAAACTATTCAAGCTATATAGCATTCAGAGTACGGAATTTAAAGCTAAACTCAATGCCTTTTGGTTCATTTTCATTCAATATCCACACAATCGGATGCAATGGGCGCTAGTGTTGCAACTCAAGAGTACGAATATTAACAATACCAAAGTCGATCGATCGGAATTGGATTCAAGAGTAAGCCCCCAAGATGAGAACTGGCAGTTAAGATGAAAATTAATCTATACAAAACCAAATTCCGCTATTCTAATTTTAATAAACTTCTCAAAAATAAGTTAAGATTTGAAGCTATTTTACACTTATGAGTTCATTTTATTTATTAATTTATTGTTTTGACTTGACTTGTACTGCCTCGTTGGCCGAGTGGTCGCAAGAGCGACTGCCGGACAAAAATTCTCAAATTCTCTGTGGTAGCACGGAGTCTGGAAATTTGCCCGGCAATAGGCTCACCCCCTATTTCATATGACTCATAACATAAATAGTGAAAAGTGGGTTTACATTGTACAGTGGCATTAAGTGGTATTATGTGCACATCTACTTACACCTTCGGGAATAAAAGGTGTGGTTTTAATTTATGGTTTTTTGACTTGACTCTATTTACATATAAAATTAATTTATTAAATTAAACCAAATTAAAAGGCTACAGGGTAGATTTATAAATAACCCTGAACACATAAAAAAATAGATACGTACTATTATATAGGATGATATCATATATCGACATCACAATATTTAACACTACACACACATACATAGAATCATATAGCCAAATAATTTTATGTTTATTGTTAATGACGTTATAAACGTCAAACAATGTAAAGTGTCCGTCTGTTTGTTGACGCAGAATTCGCGTTTTTTTTTCTTATATATTCAAGGAAATATATATTTATTTATGTTTAAGATTGTTAAGTGTAGATTGTACATTTAGGTATATACTTGCTTCCTATTGCTTCTACATTGATGTTATGTTAAGTGCAAATGTAAGTTTGTTTGGTTGACATTTTTTCCTAAATAGCTGGAGTAATTTTGGTGTAGATATAGATTGTGGTAAACGTAGGAGGAGGATGGTCGTAAGCATTCATTTGAACATGACATTTTTGTGGTTTAATATTGATGAGCAGTTGTATTCCAACCAGCTTAAAAAATAAAAAATCTTCACATATTCGTAAAAAAACTCAATATTTCAAAATGACAGATGGCCAGTCATATTGTGTATAGTTACTATTATAGTAGCGTATCTACCATGAAGTTTTTACTAGGACAAAAACTCTATCAAAGTTACTAAATGATCTCTAAAGTTCAGTTCAGAACTACGGACTGATGTCAGTATTTTTTTAATAGTAGATAATTACCTAAGATCACGTCGATCAACTGCGAGTTTTTATCAATCATATTTAATGTTATTTTTTCTAAACAAGTCAAAAAAAGTAAATAATTAACTTGTTTTAACATATGCAGACATTATTATATTGGTACATAAATAACTACCTAGTCATAAAAACATGTAGTTATGTAATTATAGGTATGCATATTTGTCTGTGCGATCGTTATGTTTAAACTGCTTAATCGATTTTGATAAAGATAGGTGAAACCTGATTGGAACTTTTGGAGTAGACTTATTTTATACACTATTCAGATTTACATGTAATTTGTTAAGGATTTATTGAGGGATATCAATTTATTATATCAGTAAATTACTTATTATATGTGGCAATTAATGGATCGGTTCACCCTTGTTTGATATAACAACGTTCGATATAATATTACTAAAACGAACAACGTTTAAGAAAATCATCACTTCGTTTGATATCGTTTGACAGAATTTTCAGTTCGCCGAATATTTATATGCTATAACAACATTTGCGCTAATAATCGAAAGGTATTATGTTCATTTGATGTAATGTTCGGATGGATCACGCCTTTTATCCCCGAAGGGGTAGGCAGAGGTGCACGTTATGCCACTGTACAATGTAACACCCACTTTTTCACTATTTATGTTATGAGTCCCATGTAATAGGGGGTGAGCCTATTGCTATATACCGGGCACAATTCCAGACTCCGTGCTACTACTGAGATTTTTGTTTAAAAAATCTAGTAATATATATTTATGTTATATATATTCGTTATAATTCGAATTCCTTCGATATAATTCGTTATAATTCGAATAATTCTCCCGAGACTCCTTGCCCGGCAGTCGCACTTGCGACCACTTGGTCAACGAGGCAGTCGAACTAGAAAACAGTTAAACTAATTTTAAATTATTTGCAATTGCTTTTATTATATCTAAATTTTGTAGCAAAATTTTTTGGGCTCCCCTACACATTTGGTTGTGTTAGAAATTTAGTCAAAGGAATAATTCTACGAAATGACTTTATTGCACCTAAAATTTCATGAAGTGATTTTCGACGAAACGTTGTTCGACCAAACAAAGGTGAACCCAATGGATCACTGTGTCTGATGGAACAAAATTGAAGAAAACATAACAGATATAAATATATAAATTTAAAACTTTTAAATATAATTATTAGTTAGTCTGACTGTTTGTAAGGCTAGCTGCTCGTTCGAAATCGTAAATTCGTTTGGATAAGAACGGATAAAAAAACCCAAAAAAATACTATTTTTCGGTGGATTATATTGTAAAATGGTTACAATAATAAAAGCTATTAATTGTCCGATGCCACCTTTGACTAATGTCTAATAATACAAATAAAAAAGAAAAAAACAAATGAAACACGTGTTTTTTGTTCTCAAACAGGATTAAAGAAGCTTAACAAGTTTTGTACCAGGTATAATACCTG